AAAAGACTTAATGTGAAAACTGAAATTTGATTTGCTGTTTATTGTTAGTGCGAGTGTGTATTTATTACTGTCATCCTGCATAATATGTCATCCTTGACATTGTTGTGTGTGCACATGAGTCATGTTGCAGTAATTGTGGTTTGGATTGGCAGATTAATTCAATTTTTTGTTGCATGATACAAAAACAAACTCAAATGGTTCTCGTTTTCTCCACATGGTCTTCAAAGCCCTTCCCGAGTCATTGCATCTTCTGCTGCCACTTCCCCTTTTCCAGTGCTGAGAAATAGTGACAATTTTGTGAAGCTCACAGTTTTTATTATATTGTTTCGTTCACTGCTCAGAAGCAGCATTGAAAAAAAGCAATTGGGGGTGCTCATTCATATAATTTGGCATATTTTCTGCACATTTTTAGTGAGTGAATACATATAGCAGAAAAAGAATATTACGAAACACTGCAAATAATTGTGCATGGGGTACATTTCATGTTCGTACTATTTCATCATCATTAGATATTACTGTTTTATATATATGTGGTTATATCATCTGACGGACTGTCCAGGGTGTACTCCGCTTCTCGCCCACTGACCACTGGGATAGGCTTCAGTTCTCCCCGCGACCCTATTAGGGAATAAGCGGTAACAATAATGGATGGATGGATGGGTTATATCATTATAACCAAAATACAAAGTAGGTTAATTAGCATATTCATGTTATTAATTAACGCACAAATGAATACATTTCTGGTTTGCCTGTGCTCAGTTTGTTTCACTGTTCAGCCTTCTCAATTAATGATGACCCTCAGTTTTGTATCCTGTTATCAAACAAGACATCTAAGTTCATAATTTATATCCTCATTGCCAACTTTGAATGCGAACACCATTTTCAAGTCATGTGTGCGCTCGTGCATGAGATTTACAGTGTCTGAGATTGACATTTATTTAACAGGCGTGCTGGGGGATGTCATGTAGTTCCTTTTGATTGATCTCTTTACTTCCTGTTACAAAGATGGAGGTCGCTGTCTAACCACACAAACCCTTTCAAGCTCGGTGTGTAGGAGACGCCCTTCGGCACAGTTCCAGGATCAGTAAGATTTACCCTTTTCCCTAAACCCAACTGTAACCATGAAAGGCGTAAACACAACCCTGACCTTAGATCAGTGTCTACAGGCAAATCTATTCTCAAGTCTGTTTGCCCATATGTTGCCCATATGGAACTCCTTCCTGTATCCTCTGTGGAAATGTGTGTCTTCAAAGTGCAAGGTATATATCTTGAACAGCATTCCTCTTTGATCATAGAGGAAAAAAATAAATGCAACGGAAATTTATGTTAGCTGTAATTCAAAATTAATCTTTTGTCTCATCACTATGTAAAACATGATACTGTTTTGGAACAGAACAGCTTTCAAAATGTGCCAAAATATAATGAGGCATGCATAGGTTATTGGAACCCTATGAAAGAGAGATGAGGAGTTGTTAGGCAGGCATTTCACTGCAGCTCCCTGTCATCTACTGATGACAAAATATCTGGCCTTAGCCTGTTCTCCCAATGTTTCATCGACTTGTTCTCAAGAGTATCATAATAGCAAAGTGGCTTTTAATTCTGTCCTGTAGCTTAACTGAAAGATTATTCTGAAAGTATATGACTATATAATAGTCTATTCCATCGAGACCCAGCCAGAGGTAATGATTTCAGCATGTCACTCCAGGCCAGTTCAACTGTAATTGCATGGATGATCGGCTCTTACAGAAAGGGCAGTAGCAGAACAAAGTTCCAATTAAAGTTATTCATGCTTATTTTCTATATTCTATTGAATTATTTATTATTGGAAGACACCTGTATTGAAGAAGTGGAAAATCATGCATCTGTGGCACATGTTTATGGATCAGTGTTCATTCAGTTGTACTGGAACACATGGGAAAGGATGAAAGGCAAACATTTTATAAGTGTAAAACTACCATGATCATCCATATAGACATTCTGGAAAAGTAATTTCCATATTTGCTCTGCTCCGGAATCTGTGGACGCCCGTCTGTTTGATGTGTTTAGAGCTGCAGCACAGATGCCACAGTCTTAGCTATGCTGGACGTCATCTCACTGACTGTTCTCGGAATACAGAGAAAACTCTATGTACACCACCTCTAAAATTAGTGTGCAGCACATGAAGAAGAAAAGATCCCAACTTAGACTAAAGTGGCAGCTTTCTCTCTTTACTTCTCTTAATTTTTATGTCCCCCCCTTGGCGCAGAGCCTGTAGAGATCTCATGAGCCCTCTGTTTCATCAAAGATACACAGTACAACCACATACTTTCCAATTCTGGGCCAGCCAGAAATCTGGAAATCTGATTTTATAACCCATACGATTTGGGTTGTTTGGAGCTGCAGATAGTTTTGGTGTGGTTTGCTGCGCAACAAACAAAATGAATGAGCCCTGCCACGCTACTAGGTCCTAGCTCCCAGTGTTATGTTCATCAGTTGTGTGGCTGCTTTGTTGTGTGTTTGTGTCTAAACAAAGACAACGAAGGACACCTTCAACTGATTTGCCAGATGTTTCTGGAGAAGTAAGGGGAAAATCTGTTTTCTGAGACTGCCTTTGCAGAGGTCTGTGTAGCAGGTGAAGAGAACCTCGCCAAGACACATATCTCACTGTTGGTTTTGTAACATAATCAGGAAATTCTTATGCTCAGATTTAATTTCAAGCTCATCATCACCTCCTTCATTCCATGGAATTGGTAGTTTTAAAATACAGGTTGTGCTTAGGTAGAACAAATAGAATGGATACTAAAACAAAAAACATTCTCAGTTCAATCCTGTCGCTGACCAGTAGCCCATGACGTGATGAGCATGGAAATCAGTCTTTAAGGGCAGAGATAATGGGTCCTTATTACTTTGACCCCTGACCCCTCCTCCTTAGTGAGAAGTTTAGAAGTGGTCCCAGTGGAGCTGTCTGATATAAACATAGCTCTAAAATGAAAAAGCTAAGGAGGTGGTGGAACAGTGGCCGACTCATAGTACAACTGGAACCCCGTTCAGCTGGGATGGGGTGCAGGAGGGGAGTATCGGGAGTCTTGCCCATGTGTCGCCCACTCTGGGAGCAGTATTTCCACCCAACCCAATGAAAGCTTTATGGACTTGAACTATAAAGGCACTAAATCTAACACTTTTTTTAAAACACAGAAATCCCCCCATATCCCAATCTTGACATTACTACTGGAACTTGTGGCAGAAAGTTTTCTGGAGTTAAGGTTTTTAGTGTTGATTTTTATCAAGTGTTCATTAAGAGTGCCAACAAAGTGACTTCCTCCCCAAGTCCATTAAAATGGTGCAGCTACTGGGTGAGGTATGAACAGCCATGTGCTGGGTTGTGGTATGGTGGGATCGACAAAGAAAAAATTGACACCAGATGGGACTAAGGGGGTGGAGATGCAAGGTAGAATAAAAACATGTGCAGAAAATTTAACTTGAAATGTGGGAGGTGTGTGCATGTGCTTTGGTGTGCATATTAGAGGGGTATAATAAAGTTAAACAGTTGCATCATCCAGAGTCCATGCACATCCTTTGGGGAGAAGAATAGGTGAAGGGACAAGATCTGAGGTTTTAAAAGAAATATACTGGCACTTCAGTGTTTTTATAGCCTCTGAGTTAAGTCTCAGGGCTTTTTCAAGTGTTTTCATTTACATTTTCTATATAAGTAACAAGCATATCTTTGTTCAATGAACATTTGTTTTTAAAAAGAAAAAGCCCACCAGGAAACCCTTGAATAGATGATTGAAAAAACAACCATGTTGGTTTTCCATGCAAGCGTATGCATGTGTCCGAGATTGAAAACCAACATTCCATGGTCCCAATGTGCGCTCACATAAAAACATTCTATTTAGAGAATTTTGAGCTGCCTTGTGATCCCTCCAAACCCTTTCTAATGCAAACACAGCAGAAATCACAGTCACTTAAACTCCACAAAAGTCCTATGTCTTTTTTTTTCTTTTTCTGGTATTATTCTCTGTTGTGGTAACACACACAAAAAAAATTCTCATCCACGGTTTCTTCTGAGTTTTAGTGGTTTCACTTTCATCTTGCTCGTACAATGATTTCTATACAGATGTGTATATATATATATGTAAAAATGTCTGTATACAGAAATCATTATACTATATATTGTATATAGATATTGCATATCTGTGGTTCTCTGTATGTCTATATAATACACTTAATTATCAAGTATTGTGTGTTTTAGAAAAACTTGAACCCCTTTCTCTCTTAAGAGGCTAAACTCCTTAAAGCACCATGACTCAGAATTGAAAAAAGGACGGCAGCCAAACTGTGGTGGGAAGAATCTGTCTGAGCATGTGCATTATGTGGACAGGTGTGCGTTCGTCCTTATTGATTGAACTGCTAGTAAAGTTTTTCCTACTGAGGGCACATCTGTGTGTGTGCCTGCCGCACTATCCAAACCTTTCAGTATCAAATTCATACCTCAGACTTTCCAAATAAGCACAACAGTTTCTCTTTTTTTGTCTGATAACTCTAAAAGAGAATAAACATGGGAGCTACCTTATGGTGGAGTCTTCCCGGACATATTTCCAGGGACATGTCATGCATAAAAACATGCCCTTTTGTTTTTCTAATCCTTCCATGGGAGTCAATCATAATTGTGGGCATGTAACTTGTCCTGTGACCCCACACCATAGTGGTTTTCACTACTCTAGCTATCCCGTCCTGTCACGTTTCACTTTAAACTTCTATTGCTTTTGGCTTCCTATTACATCAACCAAAATAATCCATTGCTTAATTTGCAATCGGTGTAGTGTTATATTTTTGCAGGTAATTTCTGTCAAGAAGCTTATATTCATATCAACCACAGATGTTGTCACCCCCCCGCCCCCAGCTCTCACACACCCACACCAGTGAGAGCTGGCTCAGCATTGCTGTTCTTTTAAAACTGGAGCAGCCACATGTTTTTTTATCGATAAATACACATTATTTATTTACAAATAAAGTGGTTATAATAGAAATAAATACAAAATAAAAATCTGAGCATTATACTTCATGTGGTATTGCACCCATTTCAAAATGTACATCGGAAATACATTTTCAAAACCAGTAAAGGAATATTCCTTTGATTAAAATATTTATTTTTCCCAACTTTACGTAGACATAAATATATTCATATATAGATTTTTTTCTTCTTCCACAATAGCTCTGTGTTGTTTATTTCATATAAATAAGCATCTTCATTGGGAAACCAAGTCTCTAAACAGCCTCTTATCACTTTCAGTTGCCCCCTTTCTCTATCGTAACCACCAGTTTCTCACCGGCAACCGCAGCCCTCCACCACCATGTCTTGATAGTTTTTTAGAATGACTTTCTCGTACTCATCCAGGTAGAGCAATGAAATAGGGCTGAGTTCAGTGGGCACACAACAAGCTCTGGGGATGTTTGAGTTGACTGAGTTGACAAGTGTCTGCACAATGGCATGGTTAGTTGCATTAAGGTGATCTGCTAAGGGGAAAGGGCATTCCCCATGGCAATAAAAGGCATGGTAGCCAGGGGGTGCCACTATCCACTCATTCCATCCCACATCACTGAAGTCCACATACAAGGCATGCCTCTTGCAGATTGCCTTGTGCTGCTGCTTCCTGCGTTGTTTGCGGAGTGCTGCCTGCCTTTTTTCCCGCCTGTGGAGCACTGAGTCCCCACGGCCATCGTGGCCGTATGTCACCAACAATGGCCGTGCCTGAGACCACGAGTCCTGGTCTTGGTGCAGGGACCGGCTCACCCGGACATGCCTACCACGTCTTTGGGCATGCTCACCAGCTCCCCCTCCTTCCTCTGGGTGAAGAACCTCCACTAAGAATCCATGATTGTGGCCTTTCCCTGAGGTCCACTGAGATATGGCAGGGCTCACATCAAAGCTCTCCCAGCGGCTTAAAGAGTCCTGCACTAGCCTAGTGTCCAGCAGACGCACAAGAGGATCAGCGCCAGGAGTGGCAGGAACGCCGAACATCTCATAAATGTTCATACGGTGAAAGCCACCAGTGGGAACGCCGCTCTCAGTGCTGCTTGCATTAGGGGTCGCAGTTGCAATGACTTGGTCTCTGTAAATGCGTAGCTCTGCGGAAGTGACGAGCTCCTCAGCAGGGATAGAAGTGAGATTGAAGTAGAACTGTTGGGTTGTTTTGCCTTTCAGGCTGGCCAGGGCCTCCATAGACTCTACAAAGAACAACAGAGACAAGCAGAGTATGAGATGATAGTGGTTTACTTTGCATACAAAGGACCAAGCAAAGAAAATACACAACTGGTTGTAGCTATGACAAATGTAAATTATGATTCAATTCTAGAAAGCTCAGGGAATACATGATGAGCAGGGTAAACGTTTCTTTCATACATATACAGACTTTTTTTTAACTGACGCACATCTCACAGTTTCTGCTGTGCAGCCAGTCAGGCGGGCATAGGGTGTAGGTGTGCATCACTGTTATGCCTCCTTGTCAACCGTTTGCATGCAGGACTCTATAATGTCAGGCAAATGTCGGCCATGTCCTAATAACATCATGAATGTCATGCTGTTAAAAATCACCTGGTGAAATGTCAGCAGATGAAAGCGGTGCGCTTCCATCTCCTGATAAGATCAAACCTATCAGTCACCCTGTCTTCACATGGCCCATTTGCACTACGACAATTGTGCTTCGCACAGTTTCCCTCAGCGATGACAGGAAAATCAAGAAACAAATGACAATGGACACAAGAGAAACGCTAGCATAAATGTGAACTCATGCATTTGCTTTTGATTTATTTGTTAGAATCTTTCGATAAGGTACTGTAGATGAATGGCACAACACTAACATTTCGATTCTTGTGAGAACGGACTGATGAAAAGTGGAGTATTGTGTCTTATGTTTAAGGATATATTTATATTAAGTGGAAACTTGCAAATGGAAGCCTCTGCCTCAGTTATCATGTATTTGAAAATGTCAGAAGTACCCAGGTTCTCTGGTATCCCCATCTGCAGTGCAGGTCAAATGACACAAGTGTTAGTAAAAACTGCTATTTTCTTTGAGGTGCTTTGACTTATTTCTTTATGAAGATCATAGACAATGTATGGACACACTTTTTAATCTGTTTGATGCTGCAAAGTAAATGCAAACTTTGAACTCTTTGCTTTTCAAAGGAGGCATTTAGGAAATTCCACCATCTCATCCTAAACCTCCCTCCAGAGGCACAAAGACGTCAATTAGACCCATCACTCCTCATTTGATGTGGGAAAGCCCCCTGTCTCGCGTTCCCTCTCCTCTGTCCCCAATCATGCTCTTTCTTTACTTCTTTAGCCACCAAATCCCCTTTTCCCTCAGCCACAAATCCTCTTATCTTTGTCTTCTTCTGTCACTATTTTCTCTCTTACTTTCTGCAAGACTATTTTCAATCTCTGCTTTTCCTTTGAGGAACTTGTGTGTGAACAAGTTTAAGCTTGTCTTAAAAACACACACATACACAAACGTGTGAACCACAGATATGAGTGTATCAAGATTCCTAATTTATCTTTGTGCTGCATGCCAAAACAAAAGATAAAGGCTAATGTTGGGTCATTTATCAGGGACCTCTCTCTGACTGCTGCTTCCTGTGTAGTAGTGGAAATGTTCTATTTGGCATGGAATTTGTTATTTTTTCAACCTGATAGCAGTGAAACTAATTATCCAACAGAAATTAATATCACATGGCAGATGGGATGAATGATTAGAGCGGTTTGCTTTGAAGTGCTGCATTTACATCTGTAGATATGTGCTGGGTGCATGGAGCAGCGGTCCCTTGCATGTCAACTGGCATAACACGGGAAGACTAATAACCCTGAAGCGCTGTTAGCATGGGATGAAAGAGCCAGGGGAACATATGTAAACACAGTATGAACACATTTGTAATGGCCAGTGGTGTCAAGGTGTGTTGGCTTGGTGCAGGGGTTTCCAGCAGTAGGCTGGGAGCAGTCACTCAGCCCTTCTGCTGAGGCCAGGGTTGTTTGTAGTGTGTCAATATAGCCACTTGGTGTCATTGCACTAGGCCTTTGGAGAGCACCCAAGCAACCACTCAACCACCCCTCTGACTCACCCCTGATGGAAACTTCTCCAGTCAAACACTTAGGACTCTGTATTAGGGCTCTCTGTTGGGCCCCTATGGACTCGGGTACTTGTATGTTATAAAACAGCTCCTTGGATCAGAGGAAGTCAAAGTGTGGATACAACGCTGCAAAAGGATATATCTGAGTAGCAGTCCTTTTTTGGTAACAAATGGAAAAATCTGCAATATATTGTAGTCATGTGAACAAACCATGCCACCTTGGTCAAGCATAAGTTGAATATGTATGATAATGTTTGACTTTCTTATATTAGGTTCTAAAAGAGGAGCAAATTGTGAAGCGTTTGTGCTGTATTCTAATTCTAAGAAATGAGGAGCCTTTAATATATATCTAAGCAAGATGTTGTACAATAGAGCTGAACTGAAGCACTTAGGTCAGTAAACGGCACTCGTCCTTAAAACTAAGTGAGCAATTGTGGTGTTACTGAATGTGCGTAATGGCGCACAGCAGAGAGAGAGGGGGGGGGGGGGGGGGCGTTGGAAAGAGTAAGGAGGCAACCCCACCTCCTTACCAAGAACTAATTTCAGTCTTTTTAAAAGTGACTCAGTATGACACGATGACTTTGTCATAGTGCCCGTTGCTTTAATGTCGCGTGTTCTTGGAGTTACAGGGTGATGTCTATCACCTGAGCAGGGGCACACCGCCCTTTATCCTGCTCCCGTGGTGCGTGTCTGGAAAAACTGTCTGCAGCGCCCACGCAAACATAATCAATTATTAAGAAACAAATTACCCCTGGGATTCCTCCCCCTTGATGTTTTTGAGGCCTGTGACAGTTGCGCCAGAAGGTCTGCCTAAAAGTTGCGTCACCACGTAAAAAGGAGGTAAATTTAATTGTGCGACAGATGCTTGTTTGAGTCGTGTCACCGAGTTTGAAGAGTTCATTTTTTTACGTTTTTTTTTTTTTAGAATTAGAAATAGTTCGGACGCGTGTCAACTGTAAATGACTAAATCTCCATAAAACAGTGAAGACTCTGAAGTTCAGTGTTGACGCACTGAGTCATGTTTAAATATAGGTTTGGGTTGTCTGAGAGAACCGTGGAGCTCTCCGGCTGACAGGTAAAGGTATGTCACTAATACGTACCTTCATGGTGAAAGCTTCTAATCGTGTTGGCCTTGCTGGCGGCTCTCTCTGCGTGTTTCCCCATGCTCTTGGGTCGCTTGGAGCTGTGGTCTCCGTTTGCAGAGTGCATGTGGTACAGGTCCACCATGTACTGCGGCACCACGGCTTGCTTGCTGGGGGTCGGCCTGCGCCCCAGCCCGAACATATTGAGAAGCCGTAGCTCAAACTCGTTGAGTAAGCTCTCCGACTGCTCCGGGGTTTGCTTCCCGGATTCGCCGTACTTCCTCCGGCCAACCTCGGGGATAAGTCCCGCAGCACCTTCCAGCAACACCTGAGCAAGCAGCAGTACCATGAGAGAGCGGACCACGGCGACCATGATCAGTCAGTCCCTGCGGGGGGGAAAGAAAGTTTGGCGTCTGTCAATACACTGGCGCTGAGATATTGACATAAGGTAGAATAGCAGGGCTCCGCTTCCCAAACTGTGTGTGAACCGCTCATGCAATCCCTGTGGCTGAGGGAAGACAGGTTAAAAAAAGGGGAAGACACCTTTTCCCTTTGAAGTTAAACAAAAAAAGCAAAGAAACGGCCCCACCGGCTATGCGTCTAACGAGGCTTAACAAACCCAAACATGAAAATATCAAGGGGCGCAAGCTATGAAAAGAGGTGGCTACAAAGACAGACACAAAAAGGACAAATCAAAGGTTCGCAGGGGAAGACTGCAGACATTAAGTCTCCAGTTAGAGATAAGAAACCGTGTTCGATGATGTGATATGAAAGGAAAAAAGAAACGTGCGTCCACACAGAACAAAAGATCACAAGAAGTAATAAAGAATGCCGAGAAGAAAAGGAGTTTGAGTACATCTGCGACGCAGTCAGACGGGGCTACAAGCGTGTGTTTGCACAGGCTTTGACGGTCATGTATAATCATAAGGGGTAGAGTTACTTTGAGAGGCTTGCAGGTGTTCGATCTGACGTGCGTACCAGAGCCAAAATGTAGCCCGGGACAGCACGCCAAAAAATCAAACAAATAAGAAAACCACCACACAGACATCACCCGAGTGGCCCAACCATCCACTTTTAATCCTCTTTTAAGTTCGAAAAGAGCACTTTCGAACTTTTACGCACGCATCCCGAAACCATAGAAAAGAATGTCCCTGCTCCAGTTTTAGCGGTGTGGTTATCCCACGACTATAGACGCAGTTAAGAGTTCATTTCAGGGGAATGCTTTGATAGAATATCCAAATATATCAAGTCATTTTTACCTGACGAGGAAGCGCTGTGTCCGGTCGTCGTTCCACCTTCGAATTCTGATAAATTCCACATTAATTCGTGTTAAATCCTCTTTGCTTCTTCTTTTGGGACCGAAGACAGCCCATGCCTTTCGCCGACAGCTTCTCGCACATATCCTCTCCAGCTGCAAGTCGGTCTACGTCTTGTCGGCTATACTTTACGAAGATGATTTTCTCTTTTTCTTTCTGTTGTTGTTTTTTAGAAGAAAAAAAACCCTCTAAGTTAAGTCTACGAGAAAGCGACTTCGTGTTGGCATAACCGACCAAAGTGTAAAGAATCTTGAGCACACATCTTTAAAAGAGACAAAGCGAAACCGAGCTCTCGGAGACAACAGTGGAGCAGCGCTGGCCGGTCGGGGTAGAAAAGCGCACTCAAGTGTCGCTCCTCTGGAACTTGTTACTGCGAGTGAGAAAGCGCGTCACCTCTCCTCTGTGCACCACACCGTAGTGGTTCGATTGATTGGTGCCGTCTCTTCCCCCAGCCACTCTTTTGCTCTTACAGTGATGTCACTGGGGGTGGGGGGGCTGTCAATCATTTGGCCACGGTAAACCACCTCCTGCGCACCTCTTCCCCCGCGGCTCCCAAAGGTTTGGACAGGTTTGCGTGACTGAAGATGTCAAGCAAACATTAGAGTGGATAAGATCTGATCAGACACAACAAATAGCAATGAACTTTCGGCGCGATACTTTTTACCCAATACCTGTGGCACAGTGTGATATTCGCGTGCTTTTGGCCACGCAGAGCGAGACAAAAAACACGACGTTTCGTCCTGATTCTTGAAGAGATAGTTGAACAGTTTCAATAGCACATTAACACATTGCATGTGTTAAACATTTGTATTGAGGCTAGTATTTAATGACATAATCGACATGCTTCTGTGATTTTAAGAGATAAGACACGTTTTCTTTACTTTGTGTGTTTGTATGTGAAAGCACCTAACTTGATTTAATATGCTTGCACTTGGCTGGATTGTTCTTTTAATTTTGTTCCAGTTTTTGCAATATATCCACATATCCATCAAATGCAGATTTGGCTGTGATCAACAATGCCCTTAGAACCACAAGTCCTAAGGAGGATTTGATATGAACTGTTGATATAACTAAACAAAGTGACTAATTTGTTAAAAGGCGAGGTGCTGCTTTTCCTCATGAATATTACAGGCTGGCACAGATGAGGGGTAGATACTTTGTTGTCTTTTTTGGGGGATTTCTTTTAAACCAATCTCAGCATTAATCTCAGGGCCATCTCCATGAGAAAAGCCGTTATTGACTCCATCTAGTGACTTCAATTAGGTAACAATGGTGGATCGGTTTTGGCAAAAGCCCCAAGCCCCTTTTTTATTTTCTTTTTCTTGCCAGATAGCATTAGATTAAATCCCACAGAGATCACAAGATATCTTTTTCTCCCTTCAGTACAAAAAGCATTTTATGAGGGATAATCCCAGATTATCCACTTGACAATTAAAATAAACAGAAGTTCATGGTTGTGCCATTGCCAGAGTGACAGTGTTTTTGATTTATTTCAGCAACTTATTGTTAGGCTGTTTTTTCTTGTTTTTTATGTCAAATCTGCTCAAGTAAAAGTTATTTAAAATATGTTTTCACACTACAGTTTATCTCCTTTACATTGATCGGTTGTGGAGACAGTAAATTCAGTGCTACAAACCCTTACCAAGGTAAGAGTTGTGGGCATGCAACAGACTGGAAGGGAATGCATCCTAATGTAGCAGCATTGGAATAAGGGGTCTTTATCTGATGCTCTTCTTCTACGTTTTTCACTCTGGTTTTTAAGAATATTTTTCAGTGCTTGGCCTGTGAGGGTGTGTGCATAAGAGAGGAAGAGTTTTTTTTGGCTCATCTTGTTTCAGGAATGTGTGTGGCCATGTGTCTTTTAGGAACTTGATCAGTGATGCTCGGAGTGGTTTGAGAACACCATGCGATTCCAATACGGCATATATCATTGTTTGGAGTCAGATATATCAAGCTTATCAAATCAAGGCTGCTGATCCAATTACATGCTGATTGAAACAACAGCATGACAGAGGGAAAGCCATGGGTCCTAGAGCAGGTAGAGATATGCTATCAGAAGCATAAATGAACGACCTGCTGAGGGGGTTCTCAATGGTGAAACTGAGACTTGGCTAGAGAGCCTTAATCCAGCACAACCACCACTACTAGTGCCATTATTTCCCTTTAGAAAGCATTTGTTTGTTTGTGATTGCAGTAAATAGTCTGCAAAAGTTACGCCCCAATACTCTGTCAAGACAGAAATGGCTCTACAACACTGCAGACCCTCCTAGGCCATTTGGACAGTAGTTTACAAACTTCTCTGTCAGGGCTCCTAGATGCTCTCCTAGGCTGACCCTCTGCTTATTGGAGGAGCAACATTTTTCAGTCCAAAATGCACTTTTGTCATAACAAGCGCATATGCTCTACAGTTTCCCACACGTTTAAGATAACTGCAATATTTCTCTCTAAATATCTGTTCATTCTGCATACATGAAGTGGTGACTTTATATACATAGTTACCAAACTATATATTTTAACAACTGTTCCTGTCTCTATTGCTGTATTGTACATACATGTACATACATAATGGCAAATGCACAATTAACATACTATGTATGTATGTATGTATGTATGTATGTATGTATGTATGTATGTAT